CTTACTAATTCTCTGCTCTTCTACTTTAAATTCACCAAAAATTCATCTTTTCCTCTAGTACCAGCAGTCTTTTCTGCTATTCTCTGTCTTAGCTATAATACATTCCTCTCTCTCCCACTTGTCATTTTTTCTCCTTCAGCTAGCCAAGATTTCACCAATAAATTCACCAAATTCTTCTGCTATATCATTCCATTTCAAACATGATTTCTATCCTTTATCACTGACTGAAATTTCAACTTCTCATTCTCACCTCATGCCTATATATCAACACCCATCTTCCTACCTCTCTCCTTTCTCTTTCTAATGCTCTACTAATTGGTTCCCATTCTCTAATTCATGGCTTCATTAATAGTGCAGTTTATTCTGGTCTCCTTTCTCTCTTCAATCTGTGTAAAGTAAGTGAGGAAAGACTTCTGTGTAATTGTATTATCAGACTGCATGTTCTATTCATCTGGCTGTCCTAACACAAGGCTACAGCATTAGCTATCTAACCTATGACCCTCAAGAGTGACTTAAGAAAAACTGATTTAATAATTGTATTAAAAAAATATATACATACAGGACCATATAGCAGAAGCACATGGTTTTTCAAATATGTGGTATGTTCACAAATCAATGGTATGCCCTTCCCTCAAGCATTTATAATCTAAAAATCAGACTTAACGCTTGGACAGATATCAGAAAAAAAATGGAAAGAATGGACAAGATTTATACAATAAGCTCAAAGTTGGTTAATTTATGCAGTTTACAGTTCAGTTGCTATAACAGCAGGTGCTATGCAACTCACTTCTTTTGGACAGCAGATGCTATGCAACTTGCTTCTTTTGCTTAACATTTTAATAAGTAGTGCCTGTATGTCTTCCAGAAAGCGCATCTTTTTCCAACAGCCATGATATCAAATTGGATTCAACTAAGATTAGTTGTTTGCTATCTTGACATTGGCTTTCTTTAATGTAGATCATCCCTCCTGCAAGTGCCAAATATTTCTTCCCTTTCACAACCTAAAATTAATGCAAAGACATATTTTCTTTTACTTCGAAGCAAAGACTACTACTAAAATACTGAATGTTTTCCTACTTCACAATACATTACAACGACAATCTTTTGAAATCCAAGAACCATGTCTTATTTATTGGCCTTTGCTTATTAAGTATCTTCTACCTTTTCAGACAAAAATAACTTTAGTGATTCCATTTCACTTCCCACCTCTTGATGGAATCTTGGGGTTCCTTTTGATCCTAAATTATCTCCTGAAAGATACATATAATTTATTTATTGCCAATGCATCAATTACCATCTTAGAAATGTCTTGACTTCAACATGTGCAATCTAAAATAGAACTGGAAAGGCTTGTGCATGTCTATGTGGCCTTCAGGACTTACTACTCTTCCTTGGCATTACAGAAACTTTGATTCACAGATTGCAACAGGTTCAAAGTTTCCAAGTCTACATTCTTGACAACTTTGTATCTGGTCATATTAGCTTACTTCTAAAATCTTTGTGCTAGCTTCCAGTGAAGTCACAGGTTGATTTTAGATCATGCATATCAAAAATAAAACTCCACAAAGAACCTTGCCCTTTATATTCATTCCAATACCTAATTCACAGCTAAAAGCCTAGCAGTGGATATATATATATCTATAGATATATATATAGCTCCTGATCTTGGCCATTACCTTGGCTGTAGCAGTCATCTATCTAGTTTGAGATCGCATTCAGTAAATTTTCCTGCCCAATACAAATATGAATTATTTTTTCACACTGCCAATTTATTCTTATTAATATGAAGGTGCAGCTAGTGAGAGTTTAGGTTTACAAGTATCTGTAGTCACTGAGCTAGTGGGATCTTTGTACAGGTATTTCCTAGAGCAGGCATATAACAGAGCCGGGAAATCTCTTCTTACCTCTTATTTCATTAATAATTCATGGTATTTCCCTCCCTTAACCATAAAACACTACCCAGTACTAGAGGAGAAGCTAAATATGTCCATTTTGGTGGAAAAAGTTTTTTGGCTGACCACAGGTGGCCCAGTTCTGCCAACCAGGCTACCATGGACAAGGGTATTGCAGGGAAAGGGGAACAGTCATACCTCTGTCTCAAACAATAGAAATGTTCTTGGATTTCAGAATAGGTAAATGACGATTCAAAGATTGTTGTATCAGAACATAGTGCAAAACAGGGAAGGTAGCAGGTTATAATACCTAGCAATAGCTATATATCATGTCAAACTG